AAACTATTTTCCCAGTTTGTTTTTAAATAAGCTCATATATTCAAATTAAAATAAATAATATTTTATAAACCTAAACTTTTAATAAAATAATTAACAATCTCTTGGGCTTATACTAACAAAATAGTATGAAAATAAACTGTAATGCGTAATGCAATGTTTGAAAAGAATGTGTTTATATCAATTCATTCATTTAATCACTTTATTTTTAAGTAGTAGCAGGCGCGTAGACATGGGTGGGCCTGGCCCCCCTTAGATTTAATGTGACCCAGGGCCGGCCCCCCCAAATTTAAAATTTAATTATTTTTACGAATTATCAAAAACGTTCTAGGCCTTCTTTACATTGAAATTATTATTAATTTGTGATTACTATTGAGTAATGCAGTTACTATTATAGCTGTATTGTCATTTTTACATTCATAGAAAACGTTATTTGATATAGATAACGTTCTAGACGTGAGAAACCGACCCTTAGGGTGAAAAACAAGTTTTCGAGAAAAACGTAATTTTAGGTGAAAAAATACATTTTTGTCAAAAATTACTTTTTGCTGGAAATGTGTTCTATGATGCCAAAAGAACATTTTGAGTAGCCTTACAAGCTTGTTTTGTTGTTATTTGGCTCTATAGTAGGAAAATAATCGAGTTATAGTAGTAAGGTCTGTTCACCGTAATTATCGCTGTTTTCCTTATCTACCGGAAGGGATCAACGCGGTTCGGTTTAGTTGTTGATCAAACGTGGCGATATTGTTTTTGTGTTAAATCATTGCCAACGAGTATTCGAAGCGGTTTATATTTAGTAACCTACTGATTTTTTCAAATAATATTGCGTTTAAAACCATCGTGTTTGGGCGAAAATGGAGTTAAACGAGTGCACTTTGCAATTGGAGGCGGAAGAAATTCAAAATGTTTACCAGACTTATTTCATTTCAAATGATTATATTTCATCATCTCAAGATGAATCGAGTCTAGGATCATCATCAGATGTAGAATTTAACATAAGTGATGATGATAATACTGATGATGAAAATGAAACTGTGTTATGGGTTTGTAAGCTTTTACATAACAAGCGTGTACTTTTTCATTAGTTATTTTCATAACCTGATATTCATTTTTGGTCAGGTTCCAGCACCGGGACTGGAGCATTTAGATTACGCAGAATCAATAATGCCGGAAGACGAAAAAATTAAAAAGTTTCTGAACGATAAGTGCTGTAAAGATAATTGTTCAAATATGTTTTCATTCCAAGAGTTGTCTACTTATCGAATGGAATGCGCTGAAATAGATTTTTATGATGATGGAGGAAATCGCCTTGATTTATTAATTTTGGGCGTATTGCGACCCATAATCTTAATGATGTTTCCCGGGTAATTCAACAATCAACTTTAGAGTCAGGAGTTAACATACCAATAGTCACTGGCACTGAAGATGGAAGATTATTAATCAATGTATTCGATTGGAATACTTTTTTTGTGAAAAAAAATTGGAAAAGAGTTCCAAAAATTAGAAAGTATTATCACTTTACTTTCGATAAAAAATACCCAGGCACAGTTCTGTGCCAAACATCGCTCGATGATGTAGGAATACGAATTCAAATTGTCAGCATTTCACCAGGGAAAAAATTTTTATTTCGAAGTTGGCCTAAAGAAATTTTTCCTCAAGGAATTTCACCTGTACGGTATAAATATTTAAAAGATAATATTGTGAAATATTGTCACCCCAAGTCTGCTTTGGCAATGTCTTTTGTGTAAAAAATTGTTTTCATTATAATAAAATTAAATCATGTATTTCAGTATCTTTCTATACATATGATCATCTTTCATAGGCAAATAACTTTTTTGGATGTCAAGATATAGACCTGAAACCCACGCCATTGTATTTATTGTAAAATTTTACTTCTAATAGCATCAATTTTTCATCTATCAGCAAAAATCTTAAAAGTAAAAAACAAATTTTAATACTTTCAACGTTTTTTGCGTTTTTCTCGGAAAGTTGTTTTTGGTTTTCCTTAACTATAAAGTGTTATAACTTCATGAGTTTTACTCGGATTGACTTGCGGTCTGCGCCATTAGATTCCTCGTATTATTTTCTATACAAATCTATAAAAATCTCATTTTTGACCTCTTTCACCCTAAGGGTCGGTTTCTCACGTCGCGTCACATATTTGGAAGAGCATTTACTCCAAACGTGGTTGTAGGTAAATTTTTTTTAACTCTGGTTCAACAAATGATAACAAACTACCAGTATCTGCATTGATTAGAATCTAGTTGATTACAAAATTCGATATAGTATACTCTATGAAAAATGTTTTGATAAATCTTATCTTTAATTTGTTTCTTTTTTTATAATTTAGTAGTTACAATAGGTAATTTATTTGTTTTTGTTAATTTGTTATTTGCGTGCTCTAAATAATACTAATAAAAATATGACTAAAAAAGGCAGGAATTGTTTTTAATTTTAAATAAAATAAATTTTATATTGTTTATAATTTATATTTATTTAAAAAAATTTTATAACTTATTTGTTATTAGTATTTAGGTATAAATTATTTTTTCTTAGTAGCTTAAAAGTTGAAAAATTAAATCAGCTTATGTTCACATCATTATTTGATTAGCTTCGATGCGAAGCTGAGAAGGTATTAGTTTTACTATGATGTGTTTTCTTTTTTGTGTCTGTTACCACTTTTTCTCGATCTCACCGAATCGATTTCTTTCAATGATACGTCAAAATATCACAAATCGAATCTAGTCGAATACATTACCCTCAAAAATTGGCATAACTTTTTTATATAGATGCATGATATCGTTACTTTTCATTTGATATATTTTTTTTATAAATCTGACCCTTTACCTGCCCACGGGGGGATTTAAAATGACAACTTTTTCACAAAAAATTAACTTTTTCCACTTAAATTTTTAAAATGTTCCGGAAAGTCTGACACTTTTATCTATATCTTAAATTAAAGCTAATGTAATGTACTTTTTTATTTAAAAAAAATTTCGGACTTTATTTTGTCTTCACGGTGAAAATGGCTACCAAATGCTATTTTTGTGTAAAAATTCTCGATTTTGTATTTTACATTTTTAACTTTATAATGCTATAACTTTTTGAATGTATGGATCAACAAAATTGTTTTATGAGAAATAATATTTTTTAATAATCCCTTTTTCATTCGACATATTTTATCTTAATCAGGATATTAATAAGGAAATTGCAGATCATGTAATTTTTGGAATAATCCACAATTTTTTAAAAATAAACACAAATTTCGAACTTCTAAGATTCATAGAATGGGATACTGTCAAAGGAAGAGTGGAAGGAGCCCCCCCACAAGCTTTTCATGGGAAACAAATTATGGAAAATGATACAAGGGCCCAAAATTGTTGGCCCCTTCAATAAACATTTTCTGGCTACGTGCCTGAGTAATAGTGAATGCAAATTAAAACATTATTTTATGTAAAGTGAATATAAGCTTTTTATTCCAAATAAAATTCCAAAAATTAGACATCTTTTTAAAAAAATGTGATAAATTTTAGTGTTGATCAGTCTGCGACCTTAAGGCATTTGTACAATTGTAACCATAAAAATAGATTTTGTACTTATCTATTAACTACATTTTTATGATTTAATATTTTTATAAAAAAAAAGAACCATTTTATGAGACCACTTTTTAATAAACAAAAAGTTTTCGTAATGCATTCCAAATTTGTTAAGAATGGCAATGTGAATACTTTCTTTTTTTAACTTTAGAATGGGAATTAGAGTACATTTTTTAAAAAATGACGCTAAAGCTAAATATGAAAAATAATTGACATCTCAGATATCCTTATAATATGTTATACTTAATTGTTTTAATAGTAAAAGTTAAGATGAATATTGTTACAATAATAGCTCCATAAGAAATTTTAAGTGGTTTTTTAATTCATTTGGTCTAACTTAAAAAATAAAACAAGGTCAGGCTATGAAGCTTAGAATTTATCAAAATACAGAATATGACAGTAAGTAGTTCTTAATTTTTGAAGTTATCGACTGTACCAAGCCTTTAATTATATATATATATATTAGTTTTTGTAGTGAATTTTTTTTGGAGTATTCAATTTAATTAAGAATACATATTCTTAAAATTAACAGTCTATAGTACTTAACACAGAAAAGTGGTACTAATTATAGTGCTTCAAAAAAAAAAAGGAAAGTAGTTTAAATTATTCATAAATATTTACAAGTTTCCCTAATTATTGAAAACCCTGTATAACAGACAATGATCGAAATTAAAAAATACTTTATACAAATAAAATTTAAGTAAAGAGAATCCAAAGGCGTATTTAAGATTTTATTGCTAGTGGAAGTAATATAATTTACATATTCTTAAAATGCTACCCGAGGATGCAACTCCTAAATATGATACTGGAGGACCTTCCACCCAGATACATGACTGGTTTAGCATTATAAAAATTATTATATTTAGAAATTATTATCTTTATCAAAATGTTAAGGTATTCCGAGATCTCAAATAACTATATGTCCCTGTTTCTTAAGATGAAATTTAGGCTAGAAATAATAATCACATTGTCTCGCTCATAATGAAAGTACTATTGAAAAAATGATAAATATGAATTTTAAAAATAATTAAAATTAAGAATGAATTACCCAGTATAATTTATTAAGTTAATCTAATCTTGAATTTTTATCTATTATTCATGAATTAATACCTAGCTCAGTCAGAAATTTATTATGCTTCAATGCATAGGCACCAGAGTATGATTCCATTGTACTGGTCTAAGAAGGTTTTCGTATCTTTTTTAGTACAAACTATAACTTTAGAGGACGTTAAACATAAAAAAAATAATACAACTGTAAATTTTATTTTTTTTAATTATTAACAGAAATTAAATGATAAAAGAGGGGTATTTTATCACTCTCACAATACTTATTGATTTAAACATTTATTCTAATATTTAATGTTTTTCATACAAGACAAATATATCATCAAAATTTTTTTAAAAATACTTCATTATAATCAACCAATTTTATTATCTAAGAAAATAATGTAACATATTTAATGAGGGAAAACAATGTCAATATGATTGGGAATAATCAATATATAACTAATACAAATAATCTGTTAAACCATCAATTATTATGAAAAAATAAAGATTTTATACATTGAGATATACGTGTTTAAAACTTCAAAAAAATTGGATAGCAATCTACGAGAAACTTTTATAATCATCTGTTTATGTATTCAAAATATAAATAAAAAATTGTTTACTGAAATTTAAAGGCATTTGATAAAACTATAACTACATTATTTAATTTAATTTTTACCTTTTGTAGTAATCAATTTTATTTTTATATATGAAATTTAAGTTGAGTCATTTCAAAGTTTATATTTGTCATTAATTATTAATATAGAGTAAAAAGTTTTGCCAAATTATCAATTAGTATTTCATTTTTTTTTTTTTCAAAAAACTTGTTTTTTTTAATGTTCGTTTCAATGTTGTGTCTTGAATGTTAACATTAATAGCAACAGAATCATTATTTTGTACAAATGAATTATTATTTTGACTGTTTCTTTTTCTTCTAGCTTTATAGCGTTTATTCCTTTTAGCTTTTTTACTTTCATGGTTTGAGACACATAAACTTGTTTTATAAGTATCACTCATAGAGGTCAATGATATATTTGTCTTTGCATTTGATGAATTCAAAAACTCAGACTGATAGTTAGAAGAAGATTGAGCAAATTCTATGTCACATGGTTCTATCTCGGTAGAAATCTAAAATAACAATATTCATAATATAACTACTTATCTAAATTAATATAGTAATTGTACAAAAATTCAAACTAAAATCTTGTATAAATATTTTAAAAAAGTTATGAGTGTTAATAAAAAATATTGTGCTTTAAACACATATAAACAAATAAATAAACCTATTTTTAACTCACTATATTATGATATTGTCTCCACGATTCTGTACAGTATTTAGAGTCATGACCATAATCATTGCAGGTATTACATTTAATTCTACTCATTGATAAACATCTATTGCAATTGTTGGTAAATTTATTTTGATGTTTTCCACACTAAAAAAAAATATATTAAATTAAATATTACCTAAAATAATATTAATTCAAAATATAGCATATAAAACTTGTCAATCACCAAACAATCTGAACCATTCATCATAGCTGGTCTCACTACAATCTTATAGAACTTACTTTTCAACCTCGTTAAAATTCTCATATCGCACAATATACCAGACGCTTCTCTCCATTTCAACCATCCACACTTAATAATGTGTCTTACATTCTCATCAATACAACCATTCTTTTGCACAACTGATCTTAAATACTTTAAATTTTCCATCTCTCCTATCACGTCCTTACTTATTTTCACTAATCTCCTCTTTTTACCTACCTCATGTTCTCTTTTGTCAAACTCGTACTCTATATATATTCTGTTTTACTCCTAATTATTTTTGATCTCTTTTCTTCAAGAGCTGATCTTCACACCTCTAGCCTTCTCCTATTAACCCTATATTGTCAGTGAACAACAGTACCTCTCCATGTATTTCTCTTGTAATTTCATTATTACTATAAAAAAGAAGTAAGAGCATAATGCTAAACCATTGTACACCCACACTTTTTACCCTGGTACAAGCACCATCATATATATCCTCTATTCAATTAATGTACCTTTTTGGAACTCCTATTCACATCAAAACCTCTCTCGGTACTCTATCATACCTTTTCTCCAAATCTATAAATATTATACACAGCTTTTTCTTTTTTTCCCTATACTTTTCTAACGCTCATTTGGCTTCTTAATACAGCATATAAAACTATTTTTAAAAAATCCTCATCATCTCAAATTGATAAAAAATTTAATATTTTCAAAAATATTTTAATATTGAGGAAAACAATAAAAAAATTAATAGATTCAATGTAATTATTATTTTTTTACAATTATTTTAATTTAAATATGCCTGATCTAATCTAATTTATTTATTTTTATTCTTTAAATACATTCTAACTTTCTGATTACTAGCAATTTGAATAAAGACGATTTTCTTTGAATTAATCTAACATTCAAAAAATTAATTTCTACTTAAAACGTACCTGTGTATTTTATTTTAATATTTTAAATAATACATCTTAAAATATTATCATGTTATAAAATAATGACAATCAAATATAAAAAATACATAAAGAGAGAAAATTTTTTAAATATTTTTTTAACTTACAGTAAAACATATTTTTTTATCACAATTATGAAAGTTATGTCCTTCCATTCCACACATAATACAAACTTCAGGTTTATTCTGCTCTTTACAGTAATAGACTGTATGACCATATTGTCGACAATAATTACACTTAATCTTTGGTGTATTTAAGTTAGATTTATATAGATCACTAGGGTCTAATGTCCAATCAAGTGGATTTGAACCTTGAGTTTCTATATAAATAATGAAAACTGATAATTTAAAATCAATAAAAAAATAAAAAAACAAATATTAACTAAAAATTACCTCTAATTTTTTTTAATTCTTCGGCACAATCAAAATTACGTTTTGATTTTTGTATTTTTGTGTAGAATTTTATCATATCTGTAGTCCATGTCTTAGGACATCTATACCATGTACTGTCCTCATTTGATTTACCTATGCGATATTGTTTTAAAACTTCACTTTTTGTCATAGGCAAAGCTCTTTCATTTTTACAAGCTACATTTAAAGCCATTTTACTACTATTATTATTATTACTCTTTATAATATCTATTCCACTTTTTTCCCTGTATTCTTTTAAAACATTATTATTTTTAACAAATTCAATGTATTCCTGAATACTACCTTCTTTAATCTTTTTATTTTTTTTTTTCTTCTTTTTTTTTAAATGTGTTTCAGCAAATTCTTCTTCGATATAATTAGAATTGTAAGTGCTATTTATAGTGTAATCATTTTTATCTTCATCATCTAAAACTATTGTAGGTATTACCTTATGGTGAGCGATTTCATTTAGATCATCATTAAAATCACTTTTATTCTCCTTAATATCTTTCAGATATACTACGACTTCACCAGCAGCATTAAATTCTACACCATATTTTGGATCATAAAATGGCTCTTCAGTCGTACCTGAGAAATCATTATAATGGATAACACTGTAGATGCGAGCTTCAAATTCAGATTGTGTTTCAGATATATCACTAGAATAATCACTATGCTCATCAAATAAACCGGAATCCATATTCCATTATGTTTCATTGACAAAATTGATTTATCACAAAATTAATATCATCAAAAAAAATTTAAAAGTTTAATAAAAAATACAATCACTGAATAAAATCTACATTCAACACGTAGGCAAATTTTCAATCTAGGTTTACAAAAAATCGAAAAATGAGTACGATTTTAACAAAAAATTATTTAATATATTACATTGAAAATACTATAGAGTTTTAGAAAGTATAAGAAGAAAAAAAGTTAGTACTGATTCAACATTACAATATGCTAATTCAAGATGATAAACGTTAGTTATTATTGTATTGATAATAAGATAATCTTTAAATTAAGGTTATATACAACAGGTTAACCACTTTATTGTTGCAAATACGGCATTGAATATTATTAAGAATTTCAAACTAAATTAGAAAAAATAAAGATCATAAATTATTTTATAAGAATTAACTCTTGAGTTGTTTTACAATAAAATTTAAAAAATTAAAATAATATATATATATATATACAATTAATCGAATAATTTGCTATACAATTTTAATTAAAAATAAATATAATTATTTTATATTTGAATGTAATTAACTGTATCTTATGGCTTATTATACTCTATCACTATCTAGCACTAAATTTTGACAAATTTCCTAATAAACATTTATAATTTGTATTTAAATTTTGCATAAGATAAAGAAAATATCACAAGTTGCAATTATATTTTTTATAAATATTCTGTTTTTTATACTACACCAAATGATAATGTGATAATAGATATCAGGTTAAAGCCACAAATATAAATACTTTACTAGATTGCTGTTTATTATCCATATTTGTGGTTGAAACAACAAAAGATTTTTAAACATTTTTGTTTTGCTCGTGACTTTTTTATTATTGTAGAGGACTGCCAATCACTTAAACTAGCTTACTCTAAATCTTTTGACTTGTTAAATTTTAGTTAAATTTTTAATGTTATCTAATATTGCATATCTAAATAAATATTAAAAAGTCAAAATAAAATAATTTGTTGTTTATGAATTATTGTTTGTTGCTTAATTTTACAACGTGTATAGATTAAAGTTTTAATCGCTATGTCCGCTGCTACCAAGTGTGTTGAAAACTGTATGCGAATGAAATTACAGGATCGTCTTAAACCTCAAGTTTTACAACTTATTAATGAATCTTATATGCATAATGTTCCAAAAGATGCTGAAACTCATTTTAAAGTTGTTGTAGTATCTGAAGAATTCGAGGGTATGTCATTAATAAAGGTATATTTATTTCTGTAGGTTATTAAGTAAAATTATTAATCATTAAATTTTAATTTTTTTAATAGAGACATCGGTTAGTTAATGATATTTTAGCTAATGAGCTAAAATCTGGTGTACATGCCCTATCTATAGTTGCTAAAGCACCTGGCCAATGGACAAATGAATCAGTCGAGCCTAGTCCTAATTGTCGAGGAGGTTTTGGAAAATAAATGTATTATTTTAATCAACAACCTAAATTTATAATAATTAGTTTCCTATATATGTATACTTGTTATTATATCTAAAATGAAATGGTTTATATTGTTTAATTGTGATAATAAATAGCTACTTGCTTTGTAAATCTTGAATTTGTGTTATAAATTGTGAATTTATATACTTTTCATTTATTCTGCTAGTGTAACTTGTTTAAAACTATTAATTAAGCTATTTTAACTATAATTAGCTATTTAACAACTCTTAAGTAAATTGATTAAATTCTGATAATTATCAACACAAAAATGCTAAAAAAGATAATTGTGACTTGTAATTACAATTATGACAAAGGATCAATGAATCAAAAAGTAACAGTTGCCATTTTCATGTTATTTATAATTTTTCAACATACTTCACATAAAATATTGTAAATGTAATTAACTGACGATTAATTGCATAAACTAATCAATGCCAGCCTGTAAGTTATTTTTTGTATATACTGTTCAATGCATAGACATATAAATGTATTTTATGTGTATGATTCAATGATATTTGATAATCACCTTAATTTTATTTGATAAGAAGTATAAATAAATGTACTGAGCGAGCACCAATGAATGCTTTTTCTCAGTTTAATTGCTACTTGAATGCTATAAGCGCTTATTGATTTAATTACCATATTATTAGTTAATATTTTATCTTTTTTAAATTTTTTTCCAAGTTCCACGTTTTTTTTTTTAATTTTCATCATGGCCGACACTACAGGAAAAGTAAAATTAAAATTATTTACTTAAAGTAAGTGTAATTCATATAAGTACATAAAATATTTATAAATTTAGGTTATTCATTGCAAGGCAGCTGTTGCTTGGGAACCGAAAAAACCGTTATTGATTGAGAACATTGAAGTAGCCCCACCAAAAGAAAATGAAGTCAGAATAAAAATAATTTCCACTGCAATATGCCACACTGATGCTTATACATTAGATGGTTTAGATCCTGAAGGATCTTTTCCTTGCATATTGGGTCACGAAGGAGCTGGTATTGTTGAGAGCGTTGGACCAAATGTAAAAGAATTTATGCCTGGTAATAACATTAACTATTTTTGAAGCATGAATGTTATAATATATGTATGATATAATTATATATTAATAGGTGATCATGTAATTCCATTATATATTCCCCAATGTGGAGATTGTAAATTTTGTTTGTCTCCCAAAACTAACGTTTGTAGTAAAATAAGAATAACTCAAGGGCAAGGAAAAATGCCTGATGGTACATCACGATTTATGTGTAAAGGACAATCATTGTATCATTTTATGGGATGTTCTACCTTCAGCGAATATACTGTTGTCGCTGATATTTCTTTATGCAAAGTATGTGTTGTGAAAATTTGTTTATTATAAGAAAAGCTCTAAAAAAATTGTATTACTCAACAATAAAATATAATTAATCGTACAATGTTGATTATTTAAAATACCTCTTTTTATAGGTAGATTCATCTGCAGCTTTTGATAGAATTTGTCTTTTAGGATGTGGTGTATCTACTGGCTATGGAGCTGCCCTTAACACAGCTAATGTAGAATCGGGGACAACGTGTGCAATTTTTGGTTTAGGTGCTGTTGGCCTAGCTGTAATAATGGGTTGTAAAGCTGCTGGTGCTAAACGAATTATTGGTATTGATATAAATGAAAACAAATTTGAATTAGGTAAGTATGCAAATTTACATATATTATTAAATCAACCTTAAAAATATGTATAACTCAAAATAAGTTTATTTAAGCTAAACATTTTGGTTGTGATGAATTTATAAATCCATCTAAATACGATAAACCTATTCAAGAAATCCTTATAGAAATGACCGATGGAGGACTTGACTATACATTTGAATGCATTGGAAATGTTAAAACTATGGTAGTATACTTATGTTTGCTTTATTATTTATCATAAGATTTACAATGAAATGTATTTCATTAGAGAGCTGCTTTAGAAGCTTGTCATAAAGGATGGGGCGTATCAATTATAATAGGAGTTGCAGGAGCAGGTCAAGAAATTTCTACTCGACCTTTTCAATTAGTTACTGGAAGAACTTGGAAAGGAACAGCTTTTGGAGGTAAAACTTCATATTTTATAGATATTCCTTTTTTAAAGGATTTAACTTAACTATTAATACTTTATTTCAAGGATGGAAAAGTAAAAATAGTGTGCCGAAGTTAGTTTCTAAATATTTAGACAAATCTCTTATATTGGACGAATTTATTAGTCATAAATTACCGTTTGTATCAATAAATGAAGGCTTTAATCTACTTCACTCAGGAAAAAGGTAAATTATAATAACATTTAGATGAAAAAACCATGTTTAACATTATTTTTATTTTTAGCATACGGACTGTCCTTGATTATTAAAACCAATATAAATGAAATTGTGTAGATATTATACAATGTTTTAAACAAATATTAAAGTTTATATACATTTCAAATTCAAAAATATTTTTTAAATAGGTAAAATTTGGTAGAAATTGCATATCAAGTGTTTATATATTATAAACATATATGTTTTTTTACTTTGTTATCATTATATTTTAATCAATTATACATTTATGTATTTAAATTAAAAATAAACTTTCATTAAAATTTTTATTAAATGCATTAATTATGACGTGAAAACTTGTTTGGTATTTTTTTTTCCTATACATCAAATTATAACTAATCAGTTTACTAAATACAGCAACTTTACAAGATTCATAAAAATTAAGCAGTTTAATAAATATAATAATAGTATGACTAGATTAAATATACAATGAAATTATTATATTAAAAATAATTAAGAACTTAATAGTGTTTACAGACAACATAATAGTTAAATACAAAAATTGGCAAACTAAAAATAAAACATATTTTATCATTGAAATAGATAAGTGAAGATGTGAATTGAAATTTTAACTTATAAAAGTGTTTATGTTTAAATTATAATTACTAATTAAGAAAGAAATTAAATTTTATTTTTTTTAATAGATTTTCTTTTTAAAAATTTATATTGCCAACAAATAATTTCATAAATATTTACTAATAAATGCCCACAAATTAAGCCAACTGAACATGGAATAGGCCATCGTTGCCATTCTGTTTCCCAATCAAATGGTATAACAATGGTACCAATAAATGCTCCTAACACTGTACTTCGGAAATTATTCTTTTCAGATCTTTCAACAGTATTTAGACACTCAGATTCTGAATTCTCAGTTAAAAATAATGGGAAAATACTTGAACCTAACTGTACAGATGTTGGGGTAACTATGACTGATGTAATAAGAATTGAAAAAACAAGAGTTCCCTCTTGTTTTGACATGATTGGTGCACCAAATAAAATAGCAAAAGAGAAAGCTAAGAAAATGGCTATAATAGAACTTATTACAAACTGAAAAATTGATGTTAATATATTACCTTTACACTTTACTTGATTAGGAATTCTACTCACAAGGTAATAATGACATGCACACTTTGTAAACTCAATAATATAACAAGTTGCAATTATAAAAAGGCAATTACGATCAAGTAATAAAATATAATTTTTATCTAATAACAACCATATCAAAAGTCCCAAGTAGCAAAATGAGCTGAAACAGTGAGGTATGAGATCAGGGTCTTTGTTAGCTTCAGTTTCAGTATATATATTGGACAACTTGAAATCCGACGAATCAAAATTATTAATTAGTACATTAGTTGAATCTTGTTTTTTTGAAACACTTCGAATATTTTTTTTTGCCATAGTGCTTTTAAATGTTATTCACAATAAATAAATGTTTTAAAAAATGATATAATTTTAATACAACATAAATTACACATGAAAAAGTTTTATTTATAAAAATTTTAATTATATAATTATAATTTATAATGGGATAATCTATTTATCCCATTAATTATATTTAAAACACAAAAAAAAATCAATAAACTTAAAAAATATTTCAATCAACTTAATTTTTAACATATCGACTGCAAAGCGTATTATCAATCTAAATTATCGGCATTCTTATCATTAATTTAAAAAAGGAAAGCAAACCAATTTAAATATTAACTTGTTATTCCAGCTCCTCTCCAAAAATATTTTATTTATTGTAATAATGTATGTATATTATCTGTTTAAACCAATATGTTAATGATTTTCAAAAATAAATTTTAATTATATTATTGGTAAAGAGTATGCAAAACTCCTGTATTGATAAAAACATGCCGCCCATATTGTTTTTTTTAAATTAGTTAAAAAAGATCATTTAAAACTAATATATCATCCTGAGTAAAATCTTAAACATATTTCTGTTTATTTTCATTTTTTTAAATAATACAATTTTATTTGTATGGACCATTTATAAATTGGCATTCGAATCATAACAATTTTTTTCTAATTAAAGAGATAATAAATAATATTTATGCCGATAAAAAATAAAAAAATTATAAAAATATAAATAATTTTTTATTAAATTGTGTCTTCGTTTATAGTAAAATAGTTAATTATGATCATTTTTAACCAAAACACGTTAAGTTTTAATTACTACGTAAAAAATAGACTTTTAATTTATTCTTATTCATGCTTTTACTATAATAGATTATAGCAACTATTGCTATTGAATTTAAAATACTCCATATGTTTTACATGCAGTTGTTTATTCAAATAATAGAATATATTAAAAATATATGTGCCTTATGTGTGAAACGATGCATACGCCTAAGCAAAATACATATTTTCATCCAAAATCGAAATGATAAATAACCAGCTTCATATACTCTAATTAAGTTTGCATGTAATTTTTCGCAAACAAAGCCCGTATTTTTAAAATTTTATAACACAAATTGAACTGTAAATTATTTATTCCGTTCCATTTTTAAATTTATATTTTGACTAAGTTGTAAAATTGCGGTTACCTTATAGAAAATGGCAATTTGTGAAATATAATTAATTTATTTAAATTGAATATTCTTCTTACAGACCAATTTAAAAATGTACATAGGCACATGTCATAAGGCTTCTCTCAATAGTAAGAGGAGAAAAAAGTGTTAGGTACTTTTCATAGAAAAACCTGTAGTGCTGACTTGTTGCTTAATAATAGGGAGGGTATAATGAATTTACAATTAATAAAATAATAATTAGCTGATTTAATATTAAGAAAAATCATATGGTATCTAAGTTTAAATACCAAAATAACAAGACTTAAACATTAGGATTGATTCCTAGTAATCACTAGATATTACTATAGATTCATTTAAACATACGTAATTTTTAATACACAGTGAAAATAGTTATACTTTTAATTAAGGTGGCTAGACCTATGCCTAAAACCGGAGTTACAGGGTTCCTAGGCAGTTACTAAATTAATGTCTTCCTAAAGTAATATTTAAATTTAAATTTACCAAATTTCTAATTGCCTAAATTACCTAAATTAACTAATCTACATAAGAAAGGTACATTTAACTTTTAGAACTCTACGTTCTAAAAATTAAACAGGAGCAATGTACATCTACCTCCCCTAAATACCATAATTATATATCAATGAGGGCTTCACATTTCAAAATACGTTTCTGTTCCTTTTTGGTATAATATTAAATAAAAAAAACTTTATGTATCTATTGGGAAAAAGAAATTATTATCTTACGTACCATGATTGCCCCTAAAATTTTGGGCTCTAGACTAATACAGAAGCTGCCTTATCTGTCTTGGTAATTATACGGCCCTACCTATGCCGAAGTAAAATCAACGTAAGCCAAATTCACTCTGCCACCTATCTAGCTACGTATTCAATTGTGTGTATGAAATATACTCACTTAAATAAAATATAATAAGGTGGCGTATTTTGGAGAGGGATTCATCCCTCTCTCACATCCCCCGACCAGAAAACCCAATAATAAACTAAAAAAAATTTCTTATGATCATGTCAGGAGTAGCAACCACACATTTTTTTTAAAGAAATATATTTTCAAAACATTTTGATGACTTTCTTTTTGTTCTTAAAAATAACTACTACAAATCACTTATAAAAAGAAAAATGATTACTACTCTCTTTATTGTGATACATTTAATTTTTTATTTTAGTGAAAGACAATTTGATCATGAATCTCAATGATTCACACATCTCACACTAGATTTGTAAAAGTCTCTTAACTATGAATTTTTCTATCTTTTAACCAGTTTTTCGCTAAAAATATAAATTTTCAATAATTTTTTTTATCATTAAAACGTTGTTATCAAAATGTCTCGTTTTTGGCTCTTCTTTGGGAAAGTTTTAGTTTTTTTTATACTTAATTTGAGCTTATATATTTAATTATAATTAAAAATTATAACTGAATTTAAGCTATATCAATAATAGTATACATAATTTAGTTTTAAGGTTTCAACTTTTAATATAACTGTAATTTTATACATAAACCGAAGGGGGACTTAAAGAAGGCTTATCAACCGTAAAAGTTATTATTAAAAATTATTATTTTTATACGAAAAAAAATTCAGGGTGGGGGAAAATAATATTTTGGCCCCCCAAATTTTTTTTATAAATTTACGCCTATAATTTGATTTATCCATAGTTGTAAAAAATACTTTTAAAAAATATTTTAAATAATATTCAAATATTTAAAAAAAAATGTATTTGAAATACTATTTGAATACTTTTCATACAAAAGTATTTGAGTAATACTCAATTACTTTACAAAAGAATTTCAAGTACTAAGAATACAATTAAAAAATAATAATAATGTTTTTATTTTAACTAAGAGCTAAAGGTTCCACCTAAATAATTACCAAGAGGGTAATTTGAGTCAAATAATGAGTACTCTTAAATTAAGAGAACTCATTTATTATTTTCGATATTTTTTGTTAGAGGTAAATAAAATTAATTATTGGAGACTAATCAGTGAAAAAAATAAATATTAGTACACGTGTAAAAACCTGTAAAGTATGTCTTATTGACAATAGAGTAAATCATTTGAACCTGCAATAGGCTATTGTAGGTTCAACTGATGTATTAAAAATAGATGTATACATAATAGCATTTAGATAAGCACAATAATTATGTTATACTATAATGTAACATATAAAATAACAGAGAATTATTCTCAATTTTCATTTTGACTGAGTTTAATTTGCTTGCTGTGTTACGGTTAGCAAATTAAAAAAAAAAAAGTATATTAATAGTACTGAATATTAAACAGTATAAAATCTAAATAATTGTATTTAAAATACTACTCAGATACTTTTTATTAAATGTATTTAAAAATACTATTCAATACCAATGAAAGTANTATATTAAATGTATTTAAAAATACTATTCAATACCAATGAAAGTATTTGAATACTTTTATTCAAATACATTTACTCAAATGCTTTACGCCTTTGGATATATCAAACATAAAAAATTTACAGATTTTGAAAAATTATATATATATTTCTCCATCCCTTGTGCTCTACACACTTAATAAACAATTAAAACGATACATTGTCATTTTTCATAGTAAGGCTGTACATATTAAAATACTCTAGTCTAGTCCATAATAACAGATTCTAAGTTGTTACTAGTATTACAAAATCGCTACTGTACGAGTTGGCACCCCTGACGAATAATATAAAAAATATATAACTATGGGCGGCGTCGGTGGAGGGAGCTTTGGGTTGACGACAGCGGCGGCGTCGTGGCGCTCTTGTTCTTCAAACGTACGGGAAACGTGCACCCGCGAACTTATCTCATAATTTCCACACCCCGTCCAAGTCACTTCCGCGCATACACAAATACGTCGCTTATATGTTATGCTCATATGATTAGTTTACACATCAGTCGTGACGAATGCATAAGTGAAATAATAATATTAAAATAAAAAAGATTCTAATTGTACAAGATATTAATCAATTTACACACCGGAAATGAATGGCGCTAAATGCGCCGCGTGCCTTGTCGCCGTTTTGTTCGTATTATTCGCTTTCGTAGTAAAAGGTAAGAAAATAATATAAATTCATTTTCTTCCTTTTAAACATCTTAGCGTTTTTAACATAAAACTTTTGAAATTATAAATAAATTCTTCTATTAATAATATTTATGATTTGTTTGGTCCGAATATAATTGTTTACTTGCTCCTTGGTTGATTAATTAAGCATAACGCAATAGAAAAAGCGAATATTTACTAACATTGGAAACCTAAGTTGAATGTTTGTAGTAGCTGTCTAAATTACTATCGATGTTTGTTGGCATACATTGAAAAGGTAAACTTTCTACTATGATTTATGATGACTCGAAAGCTTTTTTAGAGTCCTATTATTCTTGTAGACGTCATAATTTTTATTGTTCATACTATTTGTATATAAAAAGTTCGTTGGCCGCATAGGAAACTAATAGTTGCAATTTTATCAGCGTAGGTGGCCAATCGATTTTAATAACATGAACTATGCCTAATATGAAATATTACCATGGCGATTTATACCTTGTCTGTTGAAAATAAACAAGCTATTATCAGTTTGTCAATAGGAAAATATTTTATCAAGATAAAGACTAATAAATTGAAAACATAATCCATTAGTAATCAACTAAAGACATATTTCTTGTACGTTTATAGCATTGCTTCCGTTAACTTATTAAGGTTTAACATTTTTGTTATCATTATAATTATTATAATATAATTAATGTATCATCTTTAGAGACAAATGAACAGTATTATAGTTAGTTAACATGGAAGTACATAAACTTGTTATATTATTCGTATATATTTCGATTTTTAAGTGTTTATTTACTAATAGACAAGTTTCTATATCTTGTAATTAAAAAGAAATGCTCTTCTTTTAATGCGTCGAATTATAAAAATTATTATGTCCATGTTCAGTTTTTACGGCGCCTGACGATATCGATTTGTTTAACATTTTAGGGTCGAATGCGGTTTCAAATGACTTGTCATAAAGAAGTGTAGATTTAAGGCACTGGTTATACTTACCGATAGCAATTACAGGGGTGAATAAGCCTTAGAAGTGATGCGTTGGTCAAATAGAATGGCTTAACTAGTAAATACTATAATTATGGTGAATTGATATTTTATTATAAGGCATCATTATTTATTTAACATTTTATTTTTGACATCCAATTTTTGTTTTACAATATTTTCAAATATTTCAAATAATGTTATAAAAACTTATAGGTTTTTGGGTATATGTTTTGCTACATTTGTTGCTAGTGTTAGGGGTTAAAGCCGCCTCTTCAAAATAATATTTTTGTTGATGTTCGTGTAGGTGGGTTTCGGTCTATTATCGCTTTATAAATATTCACTGTTTCTAACTAAAATATCCTGGATATGATATTAATTATTTTTACAAAAACTTTTTTCATTATAAACAGTGTGGACTGTAAGAAAAAATTGACATCACATTTAAAGACAAACTACACCGAAATTATTTAAATTAAATTACTTTCACTTTACATAAAATGTTAAAAAAATATCTTTGCGAAAAATTATCTATATTATTGTTCATCTTCCTCAAAGCTATTCACTAACAACCTTTTCTCTTCATCTTTGTACTGGAAAACATAAGGATTGACTTATCAACAATTTTTTTACTCTGATTAAAATTATACTAAATAGTTATGTTTATTATATATTTTTTGCATTTTAATATTTTGTAATAATGTTAGCAAGCGAATTTTACATGCTTACAATTTAAGGACATAACATTTATATTCATAAAATAGAAAATAAAAAATTGAGAGGTATTGAACATTAACTGGTTGTATTTTTGGTTTATCGTTCTTTGTTTTATCGATAATTAAAACTACCGGAAGTTGCACGTTCTTGTATATCAAATACACTAGAAAATTAAAACTTCAATAATTACCGGTTCAGTAAAAATTTCCATAAATATCAGATGCTAAATTAAAAATATCGTTTATCCTAATTGGGTCATACATTTCCTAAAATAAGTTTAAAAATTTCCATGCCTATCATTATTTTGAACAAACCCATTCATCGATTTTCGTATTTATTTTTAATATAATTAAATTTAAGATATTGCCTTCAAACTTACTCATTACTTTACAAAAGTGACATATAAAGTTAATTAATCTACTTATACTTTACTGACTATGATTAATTCAAATCAAAATTTTAAGTTACTGATATATAAGTATTTGAATTATAAAAATGAAAGTTCTACTTAAAATGTTTTACTAATATAAGTTATAAACAAAATAATACTGGTATATTTTCATATTTAAAGAAATGATAATTAAATAAAGGGCTAGAATAAAAAAAATAGAACTTTTTAGTGAGCTAAATTTTTCTTATATATTTTTATGTATCAATAAATGTAATTTTTGTGGGGGCTAGTATTAAAAATGGTGGCATCTAAATCCTAATTTGTGCTAGTCCCTAACAAATAATCTCATTATTTTTTACTTTATTGTTATCGTTAAAAATTAAACTTAAATTCATAAAAAAAAATTGAACCTAATACAATACACACCCAGATAAAAACCTCGATCTATATAATAAATTCATTGTTCAATTTGATAAATATATCATTACTATTGAAACTATGATATATTTATCAATATGATAATTTTTTTTCTTGTCTTGAACAATAATTATTTATAAGAATAATTTTTTTGTTCGTATTAATAAAACATTATCATAAACCCTTGATAAAATTTCTCTATCAAAATAGATTGAGGTTTTTCTTTGGGTGCTATGTACTAAAAACCTATTTTTTACGTCATAATAACAGTTAAATTAGTTTCCTTTTTATCCTGACTTAATCAGTATTAAGCTACTAAACGTAAGCACTAAATACATCTTTAAATGTGTTTTAAAACTTGGATGTAGATTTAGAAACGAGATTTAGTAGATTTCTTAATCAGTGTAATTGTTATACCAAACGTCTCTATTTTCTATATTTGATAGAAAGTTGCTGGATAATATTTACGGTAATAAAATTATGTTATAATAGTAACTATATAATTATCGCGATAATGATTTAACTAAATTGTTTTGTTTGTATGCGTGACTTATGTTCTCATCAGTATGTTTTTTTTTAATAGCGATTTAGGTGTATGATTATTAAACAGCCTATGAGTATTACACAAATGTCTTAAACCTTGTACTTTTATATTATTCTTGATACACAGTTTACTACGGAAACTTGTAGCATTCTTCATTCCCTTTCTTTTTTACTTGTCAAATTATTATGGTATATATTTTCCCTATTATGATCTTATTAATAAAAAAATGCCCGATTTAATAAATTTCTTCTATGCTTCTAATGTACATCATTTTTTAAAATTTTTATGATGTTGTATCCATACATTTACTAAACTCTAAATTTATTTAAATTGTAATCAAATATTACTAATACAAATTATATTCCAGTAAGAAATAACTTATTATTTTATTCTTTCAAGTTGGTTAGTTTATGAATATGATGATTATTTGAGAAAAATTGTGTTATGCTTTTATTTTATTAGTAATTTAAATTGAGTATTATAAATATAAATATAATACGTATTTAAGACGTTTCATAATTCATTTTTTATTTGTTTTGAATTGAGTTGTAACATATTTTAATAATTTTATGGTAGTATATTTTATATATATTATTATATTTTAGGTGCAAAATCAATAATATGTTATAAGTGTAACTCCAGGTTTGACGAAAGATGTGGAGACCCTTTTATACCCTATAACATTGGCCAAGTTGATTGCAATATTACTGAAAAACCTTCTCACTTGATAGAATATAATCCAGTCATATGTCGAAAAAGTATTCAGCGCAGTAAGTAAAACATTATTTTATTCTATTTTTCTGCTAATTTAAAACATTCAGAATACAATTACTATGAATATTTTATTATTTTAAAATTGTGAAATTTATATTTTATATACTTAATAAATTTATATCAAAAAATTTTATCATTATCATTAGTGAATAACACAATGAAAAGAAATAGCATTTACTTAGAATCATATTTAAGATTTTAGTTGAATTTTAGTGCCCCTGATTTTTTTCAGTGTTGTCTTTTAAATTATGTTTATAAGAAAAAAAAATTTCTTCAGAAAATATTTACCCCAACATTATAAATTTCCATTATTGTAAACCTTAAAGTAAAACTTAATAAGACTTTTAAGTTTAGTGTTATTGTCATTGATAACATGACATGAGTATTAATATTTCTATTAACTAACTACCAATATACGAAATAAAAAATAAAAATGTTTCGATTTACTTATATTGAAAATATTTATATTTGCTCCTTAAAATTAAGATTCACCTCCAAGAATTTTTTGTGGAGCTATTGCCCTCTCAAGCCATATATTAAATATGGCCCTGATTAAAATAATCAGAAGCGTATTTTAGAAGGGATCGCACTGAACTGGCACTATCTATATTTTATGGATCAAATATGTTTGCATTTTAGATTTTATATAAATAAAAACCAGTGAACATTAATAAAAGGTTATAAATGTTTATGTTTTTCTAAAACTTAAATCGTTTTCCACTGTAATAACATTGATTATTTCCCTCTAGGATACTGTGTATTTTGAATTTTAAATAGTCGTTCTTTAAAAATATATATTAAATTCATTAAATTGAATTTATTTAAGCCATTTGTTTAGTTTTGAACCTTAATAAAATGCTCTTAAATCATGTGATTTCATTTGAAGTGTTTTTATTATACTTAGTTTATTTTTTGACTTAAATAAAAATAATAGAAATAGCACTTCAAAAAAATGAATAAAATCAATATATTTTTAATTGGTTAAAAATTAATGTCTTATATTTTTTTATCTTTCATTTAATATATATAGTTAACTGTAATATTTTAATGTCATAAACATTATTGTATGTATACATTACAAAGGGAGCTAAACATGTAAAGCGTATTATAATTTCTAGCACTTGCTAAGATTTTCATTTTTAAACATATTAGTGTATCAATAGAGTTAATAAAACTCACTCTATTTTCATTTTAATGGTAGTATTAATTATAGACTTGTCTAAATAACTATTTAAGCATTTTTTTAAATTAATATTGTTTTCATTTACTCTTTAACATTTTAGTTTAAAATGTTTTGAATACTTGCTTTTTAATTATTTTAAACTGATTTTCTAAGATTTTTATAAACATGTCTTCTTTATTGAATTTAATATGTCTTTATTTTAGACCGGTTTTTTATTGATCTTATTTACGTTCAGTAATTACTTATATAGTATAATTTCATTTATCAAAATGTTGAATATACCTACGTATATTAAATACACAAAATGATATCTTAATAATTTCACTAGAAAAATTATCTAGTATTTATTAATATTAAAAACTTTAGATGATTATTTTATTTTTACTTTCTTAGATGCGTTTAAGTTATAAATATATATACGATAATAACTAATTTTAAAGGAAAAAAACTTAACCATAATATATATGTGTGTGTGTTCTAACAACATAAATGTAATCCTGTAATTTTATTAATTACAATATCAAATTGATGCTTAATTGACTTTTGCATGGATTTTAGCAAAATAATATCATGAAAAAGCAGCTGATATAAATATATTACTACTAATTTGAAGCACTAAGCAATTTATGAAATTAAATTATGTGGTCTTATTGCTTGATTTGCATTTAAATTGTGATCTACATATGTTCTATGTCTATAATTAAATCAAATACTAACAGAATGTTATTTCAATAGTTCACAGACGAGTACAAATTGTAAGAGATTGTGGGTACATTGAAGATCAAGTCCACGACAATGAAGACTGTTACAGCAGACTGGGCTCGCACGACACAGAGGTCACGCATTGTTCGTGTACGATGAACTTGTGCAATGGTTCAGGTCTATTAGAGAAGCCTTACGTTGTAGTTCTAATCGCGAGCACTGCTGTCATGGGCCATTTTTTCGGTGTAGTGTAGTTTAAATCTGCACATCACACTAGACTTGAATATTAAAGGTGAATAATAATACGATTGAAATGTAAAACATTGAACATTTTTTAAATATTTTATTTTTTATTTATAATATAAAACAGTTATTTAGCTTTTACAATAATCCTGACCTGGAGGTACGGCTATAATTCATCCGTTAATATGTTAAAAGTGCGTACTTGCATAGGATGTGAACATCATAGGTTAATGTCATGTAATATTCTAAGGGATGACGTGGTACTTTTTATGATGAATTACATTTTGTATTTAAGGTACAGTGAAAGGCGTAAAATCTGTACGCAAATCAATTTAAGTATTATGGCTGTCTAGTATTATTTCTGTTCGTGTAACCCTAAAGGTGTTTGACGGTACCTCCGGTTTGTATTTCATGTTTTATGCATAAAAACGAATACTATTAAAAATTTCTCGTTTAATATTGGAGTGTTTTTGCAAGGCTTGATTAAAATATAAATTGTTATAAGTTTTGCATTCTAAAAGATTTAAAAATATGTACATATGAAAACTATTTTATTATATATTGTGTCTCATTTAGTGTAAATTAGTATGCAATTAAAATTTTGTATACCAATGATCAAATGACATTATGATTTTATTTTTAATTATTTTAATATTGTCTATTGGTAATAATAATTTTAAATATTAGTTTCGTTACTATTTACATTCATGTTTATCGTACAAGAAACATCGTTATAGAATGACTAGTTTACATTTTCAACATGTTTATACGTATTATTAGCCATGTATTTGATTTATGTTCACTTGCAACACGCGAATTACTATTGTTATGTATTATTTTTTGTATAAATGTTACAACGCGTTATTCCTTAAGTACCTGTTATACACCTGTATAATACACAGTATTCGGTACTATACAAGTGTGTCTCAGATCTAACTGGCTGTTTTTGATTCAATTATCATTTCGTAAAAATGATTTTAATAATTATTACTGTCTTAGAATATATTCAAACAATATTTTATATTTCTCTAAATTTTAAAATAACCATTATTTAGTTTTTTCTTAAAAAAGTGTCCGTTGGTCGATAACAACTTTAGGACAAGTACTTGTTGAGTTAAGTGAGTATGAAACACAGGCGAAGTATACATACACGAGTATGGGCTGCATCCGATCGCGTCCCATACGCATTCTATATATTAAAATGCTTGTAACTTGATCAGTACTTGTCCTTAAATTATCATTGATCCATCAATAATTTTTGTAAGAAAATTATTAAAAATGGTGGTTTCAAAATTAAAAAAAAAAAATTTTATTGTTAATTTTTTATTTTATTAGTGATAAATAATAAAATATATGTTTTAAACGTAATCTAAAGAGGTAATGATTATTTAAAAAAAATTTTGAACAAAAAAATAATTAAATCAAAAGTTATAAGTGTTTTCGGATAGATCTGAGAACTATATGTACGCATACTGTAAAGTAATGTTATTGTTGTGTTGTTTTTAAAACTGTATGTTTACTGGCTTGACTTGGGCATAATAAAGCCAAAATAATAAAAAAAATTTTACGCATTATATGTACTTGGAATTTTCTGTGCGATTGCATTGCCATTATATTCAGTGGCGTATTAAGGGTTTCGGCGCCCCGGGGAAGTTTGTATTAGATGCCATCCCTAAAATTTTTTTTTAAACAAACTTATACCAAAAAAAATTTCTAGCTATCCCACTGCAAATAACTCTTCGATATCTCAGTTATTAAAATTTTATAATTTGCATAAACGCAAGAAAATAATTTATAAATAACGTCGTTACATAGATTTTTATCTAAGTTTTATAGAGTTCATCGGCTGAGACGTCACCAAAATCTCAGGGGCGCCCTTTTCATTGTGCCCTGAGGCAGCTGTCGCGGGTAGCCTCTTATGAATTGTAATATTATATTTATTTTCTTATGAATTATATTTATTTATATCATATTAATTGTATTATTCATGACGCTCGTGTTAATCAATTGTTCTTTTAAATAAACAAGTTTAATTATTATTTAATAATATTCAATAGTGTATTTATTTTTGCTGTAAAACAAGTTATAAACTCAAAATCCTGAGATGTCAAATCGTTAGCCAGTAGTATTATTAATTGCTATAATGCTACATTCATACTCCGTGTTACATAAGAAAAAGTTAAAATATTTTAGTTTTTATCAAAAAAATTTTTTTAAGTGTTTATTAAATATATAATAGCGCATATTGACTTTTTAAACATTTGATCTAAATTACTCAATAAACGATGACAATTATTGAAATGTCAACATTAAGCAATAAATCGCAATTAATTAAAATGAATATCAATGTAATATTTTACTAGGTTTATTTCTTACATTTACACAATACGTAAGAAGAGTATTCTGGGTCGCTTTTTTAGTAAAAAGGACTGGTTCACATTGAAACTATCTTCAATTTATTATATTTTTATTGGAGCTTTATTATATTGTTAGGGGAATTTCAGAATTCTATATCTCTTCCAAATTTATACTAAATTCGTTTAAACTTAAAATGATAAAATACGGTATCTTACCGCATTTCAGATGGCGTACTTAGGATTTTCTAATTGGAAATTCTTATACTAAAAAAGAATAATAATAATAATTTTAATAGGTGAATTCTTACCTATATTGGTTTAATTCAACCAATGAAGAAAACTTATCACTTTTAACCACCCTTTGATACTACACTGCGGTAATAATGGGATATATCCCCATTAAAAAAATTATTTTGAAAATTGTTTGGTGTATTCCATAAAAAGTATAGTTATTCGAGATATTTGAGCTTTTTTCGGGTTTAAGGTAAAATTAAAAAACATTCAATATATTTATTATAATGAACATTCATTATTGAAATTTGTTTATGGGCGAATTTCTAATGTGATTAAAATTAATAAGAAGCTCAAACACAGTTCTACAAATATGTACTTATTATGTGCATGTGATTGCGCGTAAATGAAAAATAATTTTTTGGATCGATTTATTTTTGTTTTCACTCTTCTTTTAAACCGGATAGGATTTTATTATAGTTAAATATAAGTGAAACCGATATATTATAATAATAGGTATTTTATGTGGGCCACCACCTGCAGGCCAAAGTGTCGGCGTCATCGTAGTCCGCTCTATACAAATTATACATACCTGTAAAAGAAAATCATTAGAAAAACAACTAAATGTTTTTGTAGCAAGGGCGTCCGTTAACCGGTTTGCGCCGCGACTACGACTGCTCGAGTTAACAACGCTTAATATTATTATTATCCGGTTGTCGACGTACTTTTTGTCTGGATGATATGTGTGTCATCCCATGCGCATGGTCCATCTGATATCAGAAGTCACTACAGTAGTGGCGTCCGACGGTGTCGGCGAAGGACGGCGTGTGCTTTTATACATGAATGTAAACGATACCAAAATAAAAGGTATGTACAGCTCTTGAGTACTTTAGAGCCATTATCATTTTATTATTAAAAACGTAGCTTTTAAAAATCACTAGGGATAAGAATTCATAAAAAAAATCTACTAACTATAGTGACTTGATATTCGTTGTTCATTATAAATATTAAGTACAATAATAGTAAAATCATTTAAAAATAAATAAATACTCATCGCCAAAAACAAGAATATTTTAATGATGGTTTCGATAAAAACTAACTTTTTAGACAGAATATTCCAAAATAACGCACGATATATTCCAACATTTTAGTTATTACTAATTTTATAATCGAGGCTTTTGTAAGAACAAGGGCTCAGTCTAAAAATTCTCACTAAAAAAATGAATGATTTGAAGGTATTAAATAAAATGACAATTCTGAATCGATGAAAATAATGTATATTTTTTTTTAATCATATTTTTGCCTTCCGAAAAAAATTTATTTATTTTATTTGATTGTGGTTATTGTTCTTATAAGTGTCTTATTTGTACTTTGTGATGTACGAATCTAATTTTCATGAGCGCAATTAACGAGGGTACTTTGGATACTGTAGCACTCCCTAGTTCCAAATCAGCACCCTCAGCCCTAATACAATAAATTATGTGAAAATAAATTTTTCTCATTTTATAAAGGAATTTTTTTTAATCAGTAGTTGTCAATAAACATAAATTATAAGCAATTTTATTTTTTATACAATTCGGAACATCTTAGTAGTTATTTTGATAATCAAAAATATGATCATAAGGCCAACCGAAAAATAATGTTAATAAATTAATATATAAAAAGAATTGACCACTCGTGGCTAATATTATTTAATATTAAAAATATAATTTCATTTTACATATACTAATTAATCATTATACAGAGCAATTCACTAATCATGAATCACTTCATTAATCGAAAAATAAAAATAATATCTGATTTTTTAGTTCAATGTTTCTCTCAAATTTTCAATCGTAGTTTTTTTTATATTCATCCCTTATAAATTATAAGGGTGTTAAATTTAATCTCTCAATATGAACAGTTCAAATTAACTTGCTTTATAAAAGATGATAATCTTATCAATAAATGTTTGAATTTTTAAACCAGTATTTCAGAAGTTATTTACAATTTAAAGTAACGACTACAGGTGGTGAGTGGACGTTGCTATTTTTATAACTAAACATTTCCCAGTCGTACTTTTCCTGTTACATACATATAAATATGTCAAATTTAATCTGTACAATATTTTCAATTTGGAAAATTATCTTTTATTCATTGGTAGTTCGGAAAGAAATGTTATACATTGTTACTACTTACTAATCTTTGATGAAAATTTTGGGATACGTTTCTTTTTTTTCCGTAATGCATAAAATATGCAGTGTTGGGTAGTAACTTAAATTGAATTGAAGTTACTGTAACTCAATTACTTACAAAGTAATTTTAGTGTAACTCAATTACTAAAATAATAGAAAATAAGAAAATTTTAATTATTTAACAGTAATTTTTAAAAAATAGTCGATCTTTATTTCAAACGATTTTTTTTTTTTTTGAGTTTGAACTGCCCTTTAGTGATTTATTTAAAATTTTACATTGGAAGTTTAACATAAAAAAAATATTTTTATCTTCTCATTATATCAAAATTAGCGTATTTTGGAGTTCCTCCATCTTTGAGGGTTTTTTTTCAGTAATTTTCTCATAAATACGTCTTAAGATTTAAATTAAATTATGTTTATTTGTTATAATATAATTTTATTCTTATATTTTTATTTTGGAATTTTAATGAATTATAAGAGGGAATATAGGTATGGCGTCAATCGTGGATAAGATGAGAGAAAATAGACTTTGATGGTTTTGTCATGTTATAAGGAGAGAAGAATCGGAAGCTGTAAAAACAGTTATAGAAATGAATGTTGAAGGAAGAAAAGGTAGAGGAAGACCAAAAAAGAGATGGAGGGATGATATTGAATGCGATATGAGGATAATTGTTGTGGAAGATCGTGTCAAGTGGAAGTTTAGGATAAGGATGGCCGACCCCAAGTATTTGGGATTAAGGCGAGGAAGAAGAAGAAGAATAAATTTATTGAAATCAATAGCGTATTTAGAGAGAGTAGTACAATGGCATTTATGCCCTTCCATTGGCAGTGATGTGCTATTATAAAAATATTTATTACTTTTTTTTTTTGCTCATAATTAGCACATCAGTAAGAAATGTCCGCGAAAAGTTTTCAGGATGTTTGTCAGTTGAGTGAAGTATCATTAGAATTATTACTGATATAAGTGATTTAACTTATGTAATTTAATTTAATTTTCAAAAATAAAGTAATTTTACCAATGTTAATAATATGCATAGTCTTCTATGGACAATGAAAAGTTTCCCATGACCATGTTTTTACAAAATATAACATTTTTTTTGTTTGTTATTTAGCTAAAATAGCATTATATTTAACATTTCGTTTAAAATTTCATTTCAGAACAATTTATTGAATCGAATTTAATAATTTTCTATGTGACTTTCCAGTAAAAATATTGATCTACATTCTAAAAATATAGCTAACTTTTAACTAGTTATGCAGAGAAAATTTAAAAAACTAACAGATGAGAATTATTTTACACGTAATTTGTTAATATTTAAACAACTATGTTTATAAATTTTATCCAAATTGTATTTACTTAAACCAAATTTAATTGTAATTTTCGGCTCGAGTTAGAAAAGAATGACAGATATGAAGTACACTTAGCTATGTATCTTTTAACCGAATGATAATAACATTAGATTTTGGATCAAATTATTGATTAATTAAACTAAACAGTCGCCAAAATATCGAAATCTCTAATTATCATTATAGTCTATTGGCTAAAAAGTGGAAAACGACTCCAACTGATCAAAAGTTAAGTCGTTATTTTTTAAGGTTGATTTCAGTTATTTATATCTTTGTAAAAATTTATTTTCTTTATAAAATGTGCATTTTTATTCTTTAATGCTAAATAAAAAGATATTGTATATTTTTTTATTGATCGGATAAATATGAAATCTATACACGTCAATTCAAAAGTTAAGCACAGCATTACAATATTTTAGGTAACTACTTGTACGGGGATTTTTTAAAAAAATACTAATAATTAAAATATGAGTTGTTAATTGTTGTACTATCAACATATTTATAATAAATATATTACATTTTTGCTCGATATAGAAAAAATAAAACCGGTTAAGTAAAATTCAGCTTACGATAGATATTTAATGTTTTATGCGCACTATTCCACTAATTTGCCCTACACATTTTAACCAAAAATTTGATCTTAACTTTTTTTATTTCAGCTCTATAAATATATTTTAAATATTAAAAATATAATTAATATATTTTATAGCCATTCATAACTAGAAAACATATCTGATAATATTGAACTTAAATATCTAACAGGTTTATTAACAAACCTGTTAGATGTTAAAAAAAACAGAAACCTATCGTTACTAAAATGTTAGATTTCCGTTTTTATGTTTACTGAGTAGTTTTTATGATTTAGTTTTTCGTCAACTAGTTACGGAAAATGTTTAAATGTTGAGCCTTCATTTAAATAATTCTTTCTTTATTAGTAATTTAACTGGGTATTTTATTTTTTTTTTAATCAAAACTTAAAAATAGATTTTTTATGAAAATATGTACTATTTCAAAGTAACAGCACACTAATTAACACATGTATACTTTCAATACATGTATGAACTTAATCAAAAAAACGATTTCTTCATGATTCAGATGATAGATAGTAAATAGAAACTGTTTGACAAATTCAAATCCGTCAAATTTTCTACCAGCCAAAAGTATCATCATCCTTTTTGACTTTTTTCTACTTCATTTAAAATATTCATTTCAGTTTCTAACAACTCGAATATAATTAAAATTTTAAATTAAATAAAGAAGTATTATTATACACATGAACGCCTTAGATATTAAATAGGTCAATTAACTATGTGTTGATTAAATTCACAATGTGTTTAATAGGTTATATATTTCATAAATTACAAAATTGATTATAAAAAGTTTTTAAGATGTAGATACGATTCGGAGTTTTGTAACTGTTATGCAAAGTTATGTATATAACTCTCCGATGAGAAGAAGGAGAAATAAATAAAAATTAAACGCCAAATTGGAAAGGGAAAGAAAGAGGAAGGAACTTAGATTAATTGGAGGCGGTCCACGTCGGAACGCGTGTCCACAACTCAGTGGCGTATGTATGGCCCGTCCGTGATGTACGCGAATGATGAGTGTTGTGCGTAGGGCGGATTCGCGGACCGGTCCCTCGGCCGGGACGCCGTCCGTGTCTGCCTCTGTGGCAGCGGCGGTAGTAGCACCATCACAAGTGAACGCAGGGTGCAGGGACCCGGTAGGCCGGGAAAACTGGAGGCTCGCACAACAAGCTGAACGCGGAGAAGCCACAAATGCCGGACTAGGCTCTGGTCATTGGAGAAGTGAGTACTTAATCGAAAAAAACGTCTAAAATTAAATAAAGCAAAAAAAAATCACCAAGACAATTTTTTTCAAGTCAAATAATCAATACTATAAGCTCGTGCAACACTAAAATAATATCGATAACACTTAAATTGATGTACAACCGGTTAATTTGTTTAATTGAGAGAAACGAAAAAAGTTCGTTTAGAATATCTTGAATTATTTTTTCATCTAAAAATGCCTTTTTTATACGTTAAAAAAATATCTAATACAATAACAGTTATATTAATTAGAGTGACAATTGGGGAAAGTCGTCGTGTAATACTGAGTATAACTGGTTCTTTTCGATAGTAATAATATTTTACTTTATCAGTTAAGTTAATAGTTTTGACTAAAAACAATACGTTAAGTATCACTTTCTTTAAATTATATCATTATTAGAAGAAAAATATTTGTAAAATTTATATTTTGATAAATTTGTTTCTTTCAAGTTGAAAAAACTATACATTTGTGTTAGTTGACATCCTTTGCTGCATAGACTTTATTTTATTACTAAATATATGTGTATATATATATATACATGAACTAACAGAAGAATTTGTATTCTAAACAACAATTTTTAAAAGTACATAAATACATAAATATTATCCCCGAAAATAATAATTTTATCAATTAAATTTATCCCAAGCAATCAATAAAAAGTAATGAAAATTTGTTCTATAAAGTTAATAAATAATTATGAATTTTTATTAATAAAAAATTTGATATGTTCATATGTGTTTACAGATAATAGTAACGTTTGTTATATTTATAAAAACTATATCTGCTGACAGTTAATGGCTTAAAATAAGTAATAATCAATAAAATTTACATTGTAAATAAATAATTATTCTTAAAAACTATATAAAATTTTCCGTTTCTATTGGCTTTCAATTTGACCGTTAATTCCATTATATTATAATGTATATTAACAGCTATGATATAATTATTTAATTAAATAAATTACAAGGAATTTAATATATATCTATTTCATAACTAATTCTATCAATATTATATTTTTGTTATTTAACAAGGGATGTGACAAACAATTGTCAAAGTTTATACCACTTACAAAACGAAATCAATATTAAAATATGGGTTACCTGTTTAGAAAACTATTGAGCATTATCCAAATACTTAAATTTAAGAAAAGGGTTTTTTTATTAAAATGTACTATTAAAAATTAATTGATGATATAATTTTATGATACTGTTTTCTTTTTTTACTTATTAAATTAAAATACCTTTTTGAAAAAGGTCTACTTATTAATTTATACATTGACAATAATACTGATAACATTTCAATGATATTTAAAATACCACAATGTTAACTATGACATTTATGACGGTTTAATAATCTTCACACGCTTCAATTTAAGCTTGCATATAAATAATTTTTTTTACATTTGTTTTTTTTATTAAAAGTTTAACTTTTTTTATTTTAAAATTGTGCATACTATTTTTATTTTTAAAAATTTTATGTAGCAAATAAATCAACCGCGCATTTAACATGATAGAAAACAATTAATAAAATATCTTATAATTTTACATTTTTGTTGTAATTGTCTATCACTTAAAATTTTATATTATTCCAAACAAGATAACTATTTTGATAAATTTCAATTTATCAAAGTTTCAATACATTATCGAACCTATTTTTAGCTAACATACATTGTATATTTGAACGCTTAATTTATAATACATGTTATAAAACAATTAATATGCAAAATAACAATGTATTGCGTTATGAAACGCATGATCCATGTCTATCTAACTCATGTTGATCAACAAAAACAATAACAACTAGGTGTAATTTCTTCCGTTATAAGTTTATTATGAGAAAGTATAAGATCAACAACCAGAACGAAGATGTATAATAATAATTTTAGTCAAATTACAGATGATTCATGATTTTTTTAAAGATAACGTACGTCGTTTATAAGTTTCCATATGTCGATTAATATAGAAAGTGATTTTTCAAACTATCACTGATTTTAATTTATGACATTGGTATTTATAAGGACTAAATTTATTTACATACATGATAACATAATTTGTATCGTTCAAAATAAGTTCGTAATAAATTCGCTTTCATTATTGAATAATATACCGACCATTTGACTTGGCTTGTATTAAAATTAAAAATAAATTTTTTATTTTTTTTATATCTGATGAAAAATTATATTTATGTTATTCAATGTATCTATTTCGTTATAAAACGTAACATGCAGCCAAAAAACGCAATTGTCCATTATAAAGAGCATTAAAAGGTTGTAAAAATTTATTAATTATTAACTAATATATCATAGACAGTCTTGTAAAAAATATAATTTTTTGTTTTCAAAATAAGTGTTTGAAAAAATAGTTGAAAGTTATTTAGAATAAGACTTCTAACATAATATGTATATTAAGATATACATTATACATGCAATTTTCTATACTTAAAAAATGATTAAAATATATTGAAAAAATAAAATAAGATTGCTATGTAATATAATTATATTTTATGTCAAAAAAATGTATAAATAAATAGATTTTAACGATTAAGCAATACAATTGACATACAAGTATTTAAAATTCCCCAAATACTGGTAAAGCAATATTAATTGCAAGAGCAAAATAAATAATTTTCAATATATTATTTTTATTTGGCATATTAATAGTTATATAAATAAAAATATAAAAAAAAGTAATCAGATTATAAATTTGAATACATTTATTTTTTAATCCAAAATATTGTATAAATACAAAAAAATAGTTTTATTTTGTGATGGCGTCACGTTACTATTGTAAGAATTTATTATAATAAAAGACAAACAGAACATCCGCTTTTAGAGACTGATGAATTAACAATTAATATTTATTGCAAAATTGGCAATCGTCCAAACTATTATAAAAACCCTTAAGTCCTGGGCATCTTCGTTAGTGCCTTGTGTCATTCATCAGTCTCAGTACTCCGTTATCGCTGTCCGGCTTACTGCTTAAGTCAAGTCTTTGTTTTTCCTTTTTCACCTACTTACTCTCGTCCTCGACATTTCAGAGTACTTGTATCTTACACTTCGCCTGCACCTCATACCTTGGTGTTACCCTTTTTCCCTTCCTATAACACCTTTCGACACCCACAACTAACCCGGAGTGTCAGCCAAGCACGGTAACTGCTGTATGATAACACGCCACGTGAATACCCATTCAGTAGATTCAACATCATCGTCGCTCATATCTCTTTTACGTTTTATTTGTGTTACTAAAATTTGAATACTTCCATTCGAATATTTTACAAGATTACTAATAGGTGACATTTAAAAATTAGTCTGATATTTTTTGTAAATCAAAAAAAAATATTTTGCTCTATTTAATAATAATTTTAATTACAGCTGACAACTATAATCTGAAGAACTATTATACTTAAAATTCTTGTGACCATTGGAATAATTAACTTCAAATAAATCTAGTAGAATATAAGTACAATCCGACTTTGTTGGATTGTTTCTGTCATAACAGTCATAATACAAGATGAAGTAGTTCTGAAAAATGTGATCATCAAATTTTTATCACAATTAAAAAAAAAAAAAAAAAATTGGCCCATAAAAATTTTTTAAGATCACCTAAATTGGAAATGTATGTCTGATTGTAAAATTAGGTGATCAATTATAATTATATAATAAGCTTTTTGATATTTTAATTTGATTTAATTGTAATAAATGTATTATTGTCAACTTATTATTTTGTACATTTCAATTACATCCGCTGTCAAGTTAAAATATTTACCTTTTTATAAGTAGAATATGTGTATGAAAATTATGGTCTAGTTAATTTGCGTCATAGTAGCTAAGTTTGCAGTCACATAGTCTACATACCAAATTGTTTATTGTATTTTATTTACTATTTTATATTAAAATAAAATTATAATAATCCGTGACCTAGAATATACAATAAAAAAACTTTGTGAGCAATTAAAATTATACAGACATAAATCTTGAAAGCAAAAATATTTCTATAATCTGAACCAGGCTAGAAATATTTTGACATCTTTGTCATTTTTAAGTAATTTAAAGTATTTAATTTAGTTTTTAAAATTTATGTTGTGTATAAATTTCATACATTAAACACACAGCACGGTTTATTCTGTTACTTATTAATTTCTTTTTCATTATTTTATAGTAATAATTAATTAATAATATAACTGAATTCAATTCAATAACTTTACAGATAAATTACAAAATCCTTTGGAGATATATTCGAACAGTTTCGCATTTTTCAAATTCATAGTAATCATTTAGGATTGATTAAGCTTCACAAAACAAACGAAATCGTAAACACGACTAAATATTAAGAAATTAATAATTGAAAAATAACGGTAGAGCAAACTTTTTTTTTATATTTGCCTTATGTATAAGTAGACATTTTTTTCTTAATAACAGATTTGTTAAAATTGCGTACTTCAAAAATAAATACAAGTATAAATACCTAAGAAATATCATCTTTGGAGAGGCCGCAATGGCCCTGAAAATGTAAAAAACAAAACAAAAATTCTAGAAAATGCGTTTTTTACAGTAATAATTACTGTACAAAAAAATTATTGCTATTATTGAAATTATTAATGCTTACATGTGAATGTTGTTTAGATTTGAATTCGAAAAGTAATATTTATATTTATGGCTAGGTGATTTTAAACTCGTTATTGACAAGTCAATTTTCACTTTTCTTGGCAGAGCACAGCGTTTTTTTACATATTATTAATAACAATAAATAACATTATTGTCAACTACTCATAGTATTAGTTTATGTACAGAAGTCATTAAATATCGTGCGAGCCAACGGTTTACGACTTGCTTATAAAATAGATTATGTTAAAACGGGAAATTTTATGTTTCTGAGAATGTCTTAATTTATTATGGAAAGTTCAATCGACATATCAAAAAACCTAATCGAGAAACTTCAAATAAATAATTTCATTTGCAAATTGTGAAATAACAACTAAATTTGCGTCATTCGAAAAGATTTTAGTGGTATTAAAAAATAGCATGAATTGCTACTTTTCACAATGATTCACAAAGTAGCATCAACAGTCTCTGTTTATCATTTTTAAAATGGTAGAGAATTGTGAACTCACTGTTATTGATAAATATTATCGATTAGTGTTATGCTTCAGGTGGATAAATCCACTTTGATTATGCTTCTAAATACTATCATATCTTTTTCTAAATAATGGTCAAAGACAAATTGTTATTGCGTATTATTCTTATGGGTGGGGGTTGTGAATTGTGTTTTTTTTTTTAATTCATAGTGATTTTTCATTATAACTTTTTGCTTTAGTAATTCATCCAAGAATTTAAATTTCTGATAAAAGTATCAATTTCTGCTACTTTCACTTTTTTATATTTCATTAATATTTTTACACTGTTATAAAAAATTTTCACAGAATAAGACCTCAAAAGATTTAACGAATTATAAATGTATACAAATGTCAACAGAGGGTGATTATAAAATTAACATCGTTGAGTGGTATTACTTGTCACGGTACAGATACTAGAAAAATAAAATCAGGGCGAATTGTTGATCCATTTAATCACAATATGTTCTCTGAAAATGATTTTTTTGTTACATAGACAAATTTTAATATTATTGATTACCTTGATAATTTTTAGATAATGCGCCACATTTTTCCCTAAGGCAGCAGGATATGGCAAGTCAATTTCTTAGAGGGGCTAGCACAATAATTTTACTTTTCTTAATAAAAAATAATTTTAATGATTAATTTAATATTTTTCAGTGAAATAATGTTTATATAATATTTAATATACATAAATAACAATAATTGTTATTTAAATAATTAGAAATGATTTATAACTAATTGCTCGCATCTGTGGTAATAATGTAAAACCGTCTACTACAAGTACAAAGGTCAAATTTGAAAATAATAATCTATAATATCTAACAAGATGTCTTATCAAAACAACTTTATTTAACAGAATCTTTCAACAGTCCTTTTCCTAGCGCCAAAATAATTAGGTGGCAATAGAAGGGCAAAACTTAGTTTTGAAGGGGCGACTGCTTACCCTTGCCCCTCCACAATAATCATTTTGTAGTATAAAAATCAAATCAAATACATTTCATTAGCAAAACGAGTAATAAAAATAGAATTGTATAAAAAGTGTTGTCTTTCCAATTAAAAATGACTATTATTGTATTATATTTTTTACTATTAACAGACGTTACTTCTTAATAATGCCTGTGATAATATAATATAATTTATACTTAATATTAGTTATCATCTATTTTTTTTATAGTTCACAGTACTTGTGAAGTATCTGAACAAGATAGTCTTGATGACCACTTTTCACACATTAACCGTAAACTAGTCTCAAGTTCTTCAAAAATGGCCCGAGGGGAACCCAAAATGAAAAGTAGCCGAAATATAATGAATTTACTTACGAGTAAGGGAAACGATATGTTTCTGTATACCGAGTCCTTGTAAGTTTTTGAAATTAAACTAATAATTTGTATTAAATTTAAACTAAATAAAAGTTGTATTATTTTTAAAGCCATCACTTTTGGGTGACTCTTAGTTCGTTTTACGGTATGTTTCTGGTCATTCTTATGATAGCTATATGTCTCGTCGAAGTCATGGACAATCCTGTTAAAATGCTTTCAATGCAGGGCATATATTTGATGTACTTATACTTGGGTAGTATAGCTGTAATTATCTGTATTTATATTTGGGTGTTGATAGACTCGTGTGCGAGTCTAACGGCCGATGAAACCGAAATCGTTACCTCCGACTCATCTTCACCAGGACTGTTTACTCTAAATAGGTTTAGCTCGTTAAAGCGAGCGCATATTTCACGGTCCAAGACTTCAGACACCAGTTTCTATCTAAGAATCGGAGCACTCCGTAAGTATACAACGTTGAATTATCGACTAACAGGTAGCAGTTAACAAATATTTTTTTAACATATTTGGTTTCAGTGTTTGGTCTCGGAACGCTCGTGTTCAATGGTTTGGAAATGGCTATGCATTCCATGATGGACATTAACTGTCTCAACGATGTAATATTCGTACATCCAATATTACATGGACTCTTTACATTTTTACAAATGCATTTTCTATTCATAAATTCTCAAGTAAGTATTTTTAGACGAGATTAAACTTTTTCTTGTAATAATAAAATGAGCGTCTTTACTATTTCTTAGTGTAATTTTAACAGTACTGGTTGATCAACAAATTTTGAAATTTTATATTTTGTAAAAATAATTCCTCTAAAATATTCACTTTTTTGAAGATTTCTAACAAACTGTATAGTATTGCATTCTAAATAGCGTTTTTATAATAATCAAGCTATTGTGTTTATTTAATTTTTAAACTGACGATCCGTAATTCCTTAACGCGACTTCTAGTCATGCCTCGTGATTTTACATATTCATTTGATACACTCAGTGTAATTTTGAATAACAGATTTTATAAAAGCTGTTATTCGACCGTTTGATTAATATACTATAATATATTAATCAAACGCTTTTCAACAATATGGATCCAGTTGTCACTAAGTCCTGATTTAGCAGTTTAGTGGGCTCATGCGATTTAAAGTAGTTTTACAGACCTTATATCTAAATTAAGGGGGGGGGGGCATACACAAATTTACAGACTTAGTGATCGTTACATTAATGCAATAAGGAAGAAACTGAACCAGTGATGCCGCGGTTTAAAAATAAATAAAGTAAAAAAAGAAGTCTTTAAAATGTGATAAAATGCCGGCTATATTTATTAAAAGTTTTTGTGAAGGTGTACTATCCCCGTACTATCCAACCATAATGTTTTATATACATTATAATGAATTTAACAAAAAACGTTAAAAAATAATCTTTGTTTTATTTTAACAAAACAAAGTCAGAGCGTTTAATCTTTCATTGACTACTAAATTTCTGTGTATCCTTTTAAAGGATATTAATAGACCTAAATAATATTTAACCACTTATAAATCGAGAAATAAATACCAATCAATATAGACGGAAATGTTTTTTCTATATTTTATTATTTAAAGAAAAATCTATTGGTCAATGATCATTCTGTATAAAAATAAATGACAGTTTATAATAAATTTTTCACAAAAAATGTCTAGCTTTTTGTTTATTAAAAAAATATTGGCAGCATAGGCGTAACTAGGGAACTAGAGAGAGCTTAGCTTTCTAGTTAATGAATTAGTTCTCCCAAAATGTAAAAAAATCATGCATGTCGTTATAAAAAATATTTTTAGGGTAGAGAAAAAATACAATTATAACTTTTACCTAGTTTTTGCTAATTAGCCAAAATTTTATTCCCCCTAAATTATGATAGATGGTGTACAATTAATATTTTTCGGGGGTTTCACTTTTGAGTAGATGTTTTACCAAATGTCCTCTCATAAATATGACATTGGCTGTTACGATTCAATCACTTAACTCTAAAAAGTATTTATAGACTTTATCTACGCAATAATCCACTTCCGTATATTTTTAACAATAACCATAATAATAATAAAATTTCATATTCAAATTGTTTATACCTTTTTCTTGTATAATAGGTATTAGTGGAACGATTTGGGTTGGTTGCTAGGTTTGGTTTTATGCATTTAGCAGCCACCAACATAGCCTTATGGATGCGTCTCATTATCTGGGAAAGTGGCATTGAATGGGTGTACTTTATTCACTTAGCCCAGACGTCCGAAATGAGTATTTCTGCAACATCCTTCGATTCAGGCATTCCAACACCTTTAAAACTACGGGGATTTCCGAATTTCATTAGTTCGAGATATACCAGAGATCTAAAATTAGGTACTGTTCGTAAAATTGGTTTACATTTAGAACATATGTTATCTGTAGACGTCTTCAATGTAATATTTCTTTACTGTATATGCAGATACTCATACTAAAGGTATGTTCATTGATTATAATGGTACATTCCGAAATTCTATTTACCAGCCAGTTTCCGAAAACCACGTATCACAAGTGGTTACACTTCATAACTGCCTCAACGCCAACTCTTTGGGTCAATTGTTGACTTCTTCTATGCCGTTTCTCTATCCATTCATCGTGCAATTCAGGTATGAATCATGACAACGCTTAAGAGACTATAAATCCAAAGAAGTAACTTATGTATATAAATATTTGTACTGGGTACCTACAGTTTAATAGCTGCCGGTGTGACTTATGTAATGGGCCAAAACGTCGGTGTAAATCAAGTAAAACCCGTGAAACGAGATCAAAAATCTCCTATACCCAAAGATCAAAAGTCCATTCAAAACGTTCAACTAGGTCGCATGTACATGTCTCAGGGTGTGAGTTTTTCTGGGGCAAACAAGGGATTGTTTCTTGGACTGCTAACTCTGGTAATGGTCATCGTAGTAGTAATAATATTCTTAGTGGTCAAGGACGATCAAGACTTTTCTCCGGATACTCTGTTTTGGATGACATCGATCACATTGGCGACTATATTATGCACAGGTATTTTATTGAGTTGCGTTGGTCTTTATCAGATTCGCAAGCTCTGTTACAACGGTAGTCAAATGACTATACTCGATTCAATATTGTCAAATGCGTCTATCGCTGGTGTCGTATTACATGCTGTATTCAGTATTACGGTGGGCGCTGTTGGAGCGTTCAACAGTAAACTGAATAGTCCGGAACAAAATATAGACGCTATGTTGATGGGTGTTAACGGATTACAACTAGTACAGGTTGCTATACAAAGCTCGTTAATCGCCGAGGCATGTCGCAGGAGCTCTTGGTCTAGGCATCAAATATTTACAAAACCTGGCCGACAGGTACCTAATAATAATATTTTAAAGACTATATATTGTCCTAAAATTTTATATATGTTTGAAATGTTATATTATAGGTGATAACTTACTTACTATGTAGCAATACGGCTTTATGGTTATTCGATTCCTTCATAACTCAAAGTTGGGTGAGCCAAGAAAGACAGCTGCGGTTTATGGGTCTACTTTCGTGGGGATTGCTCTCAAGGATATCACTACCACTTGTAGTTTTTTACAGGTTCCATTCAGCAGTTTTATTATTGCAAATATGGTACAAGTCATACAGATAAAATGCTAAAACTCGAATTTTGTACATTTTATTTCTAATTATTCTGTGCAATACTAATTATTATATTTATTTATTAATAATATTTTACTTTGTTCTATAAACGTATATTTATGAACTAGAATTTACTTTGTATTGAGTATTTTAACACCTATAAATATTTTTAATTCCAATTGAGAGTGACAATTTTTAGGAGTCTAAAAAAAACATAATAAATAAAAGAACAACAATTTATTGGACTAATTTAAAAATTAAAAAAAAATTAAAAACATAAGAAAAACTTTCAATTTTCAAATTAACAGATAAAACATCAATATTAAATATATCTGTACAAAATAAATTTACTATAACACGTTTAAATAAATAAATGGCACAATGAAACTAAATATTGACCAATGTATTAACAATAATCTAATAACTATGTTTAGATTGAATCAAGTCAAACATTTTTAACAATTATATTTTAACAATAAAAATCAAGATGACAATAATGAAATATTTATCTCTTTTACCATTTTAACTCTATTTAGCATTTTTTCTAGAGAATTTTTATCAAGTGGTACAGCTGCATACCACACAGGACTGTCAGGTACACAAGATCTTTCGGGTGTTAAATAAAATAAGTCATTTCTTGTCTTAACACTTTCTGGGCTGTAAATAAAATAATTACTTAAATAAGCAAATATATTAAATCTACCTCATAACAAATAATATCAGAAAATGTAATAAAAATTAATATATTTAATTTTACTAAAATTACTATTAAATATCAAAATTATTTGGTAATTAAAAGAAAGATAATTAAATAAGTTATGAGTTTAATTCTTAAGTTTCAAATACTTTAAAAAATTATGGAAGAACCAGCAGTCTTTAATTTTTTTCATTATTTTTCATGGCCCATTTTTATAATAACAAAAGATTGGATTTAGATTGGAAATCAAAAGTTATAAGAGTCAAGCAATAAATTTTAACCAAAAATATTATTAAAATTACGTGGTAGGTACAAATTAAAAATTGTAAAATTCGCTGATTTTCCATAATTTTATAGTTAATTTGTAAAAAAATTACCTTCCTCTCACTTAAAGGATGAATGTATACATTAACTATACAGATGCATGTAATTTCATAAACTCCCTATTATTTTTGTTAAATACATAAGCATAACTAGGGGAATTAGAAAGTCTAGCTCCTAAAAATTTTGAAAACTAGCTCAGATACCATTGAAATTTATTAAAGGTTTAATCAATTTTCAAAAATAGCACAAATTGTTGAATTTCTTGACATTTCAATAATTTCCAAATTTATGATAACTATGTTATAACAGTTATATAACAATCTACAGTTATAGATTTTATTACTGTAGTGAAAAATTTAATCTAATAATAAAAATAAACTTTAATAACAGTAATAAACCTATATACCAAAATTTTCTTATGTATACATAGTCATTATTTCAATGTTAAATATTTAACACTAAATAAAAACATTAATTTAAAAAATTTAATATGTTATTTATTAAAACATATATTAAATATTTTACCACTTGGAAAGATAAAACTCATATAGTTTTACTGGGCATCTTAAAGGATTGTCTTCATTTTCATGCTGTTCATATACTTTTTTCTTTCGAGAATTTGGTAAATCTAAACACCAATAAGTAAATTTTTTTCATGTCAGAAAAAAATACATTTTATACATAATAAAAAATTTAAAACAAAAAAAATATCCTAATTACAGTATGAATATTTCATAGTGATTACAAATCAATACATTTACCTATTGTTGCTTGAGGAGGATAAAATCGCAATAGTACATTTCGGTAAGTGCTAGGTTGTTTAGAATTAGATAAAGTTGGTAGATTTGGATTTCTTTTCCAATGTTTCATAATATGAGAAAATGATAACTGCATATGTTCTTCAACGCTCTATAGAAATTTAAAATTATTTTTAAAAGAAAAAATTACAATAATAATAATTTTAAATCTTACAGTTAAGTTAAAATGTTTGGCATTAAAAAATATTAATGTGCAGAGTAAAACATAGGGTGAGTGAGCTCCTAGTTGTTTACTTTCCCACAGATATTCTTCTTCTACTCGTGTAACAATGTATTCTAAAAAAAATAAAATGGTTAATAGAATAATTTAATGACAAAAATGTTGCAACTTACTTGCATCATTGTAAATTTCAGAAAATTTTGTAGCTATTTCATTTAAAGCATCAGTAAATTTTTCATAAGCTATATCTGTGAATATGTTATCAATTCTGCCATTTTCAAATAAATATTGTTGAATACCCAAGCAAAGATAATATATAGTATCTGGGGCATAATCACTTCCATTGGGTTTCCTCAATTCTTTCAAAAATAAACACAATGAATAGTTGAGTTCACTGGCAGTTAATTGTAAGAGATCTAACTTAAATATATTAGTTTTTTTCATGGAAGATGTATTAGATGATAGTGTTTTTTCAAATTCAACACTTTTTATATTAGCCCACTGACGCCAGGCATTTACTCCTAGAGTATATTTAAGGCACATATGTGCATCAGGTTTAATAGCTAAAACTTGTGTAGAATAATGTGAGTTTTGGTTTTCTTGTTGTAATAATGTTGTGTTGGATGATGGTATACTAGAGTTTGATGGAAAATTGTTTTTACGTGAGCGTTTTACACTTGTATTTTTTTGTGATGTTGTACGTGGTGTACGTTTTCTAGGAGGACGGCGTAAAACATCATCTGGTGGAGAAATAAGGTTGTCTGGTGTAAGACCTAAAAGTCATATTTTAATCATATTTAAATAATAATAATTTATACAATAATTACTTAATAAATATTTGAAAAGAGTCTATAAAATTAAAAATTAATATTTATAACATAAGAAATAGAATTAAATTATATCCTTATATTTCATAATAGGCTAAAATATTGTATATTTATTTCATTTGAAACTTACTGTTAATTGAATTAGATGTTTGTGATATTATAGTAGAAGATACTAAATTTGCTTCTACATCATCAACTAGTGTTGTTTCTCTTTTACTATTTGTGTTTATGTTTGAAACATCATCTGTCCCATTAAGACTTTCAGTATCAGCACTTGCCATATTAAATGCCATTGCAAGAACATCATCACCAAATGAATTATGATTCTTAGGACTTAATGATGACTCTACTTCTTTAGAATCATTGTTATATTCTAAGTAAATGATAAAATATAATAAAATCAAAACATCTTTATTATAATCAGGACAAAGAAATCCACTATAAGTATTTTTTTTAGATTTATTATTTAGTTAATAATTTTAAAACAGCATAAGAAAACTTAAGGGATTAGAAATAGTCAGAGGTATAAAAAATGATTATTTTAAATAATTTTTTTTTTTTAGTAATTTAATTCAATGCGTTAACCAACATCAAATTATACTGGTTCATATATATATATATATATATATATA